GGCCATGGTGACAGGGGGTCCACCAGCTCTGTCAGAGGTCTCCAGAGAGCCAGGTGTCACGGTTCCATCAGTCACAACGTGGAGTGCCAGAGAGTTTCTTGGTGTTTCAGCAGGGTTACCGGTCCCATTAATTTCCAGGCTTGTTGACTCCAGGGTGGGGTCCCTGGTGGCAGCAGTGGAAGCCTCAGGAAAGGACACCTCATTGGTTGTATGGAGGTCTGAGGAAGGTGGGGAGACCTCGTGCATGGTGCTGTTGCCCTCCTCAGGGACCTTTGTTGTCACAGGGTTGGGGGTTGCTAAGTCGAGGTTCTCAGCCTCAGAGAAAGTTGAGGCTGGAGAAACAGAGGACCCTCCCGGTACAGGCTTCTCTGAAGTGGCTGTGATGTCCTGAGGCTCTGGAATCACCTCTTGAGTCCAGAAGCCCCCAAGGAGGAGGAGAAACAGGGTCACCCTCATGGCAGCAGGCATGGGCAGGAGGGGGGACTGACGGTGGGTAAGCTGGAGAAATACACACATAGAAAGAGCTGAGGGGGAGAACCTGGCCAGGCCCTCCCCTTCTGCCCACTTCCCTGCTAACTGCCAGGCCTAACTTGTGGTTTAACGGCTTTTTCCACCCTTGCTTTTACTATTATCAGAAAGAACAAGGGGACAGATGCTGGCAGATCTGCCATCCCCTCAGACCCACAGGCCCCCTCAGGCCTGGGCTGCTCGTGCTCCAGCAATGGCCACCCTTCCCGCCCCTTCCCCGACCCTATTTGGCCCCGATAGCTCCTGGTCCTCTCTTCCCATCATCTACAAGGGTCTTTCCAAGCCGAAGCATATTCCCAGGTCCGCAAAGGCCCCTGGCCCCCAGGTTGTATCCCTTACCAGCTCACTCGGTGAGGGCATAAGGTTGGGGCCAGGCCAGCTCCAACTCCTCCTGAAGCGGGAACAGGACTGGGCAGATGGGCCCCAGGGGGAAAGGAAGTAGCCCTGGCTCCACCCACCCCACCCCAGCATCCTGCCCCACCCACAGTGCTCCCACAGCTGCCGTGATGATGGCTCCATCACTTGCTCTTTCTAGGTCTGAGACGGTGCGGGGGGAGGGTGCTCTGGGGTCTCAGCTGAGGCAAGAGGGGTTTGTGGTGGGTGGATCTGGAACAGGTACTTGGCTGGGAATTGGGATGGCCAGGGGTGAAGCGGGATAGGGATGAGGGTCAGAGCTGAGGTGATGCGGAGGCATGCTTGACAACAACGGGGCGCGGAGGAGGAGATGGGAGGGGAGGGTGGTTTCCTTTGCATCTGTGGTCCCCAAGCTGTTAGGCCCAAAGCCAGGGTAGCACCGTTTCCTGCCCCGAGAGTTCCCAGGAAGTACCAGGGCAAAAAGAGGCCCTGACTCTAGCTGGGGGACAGTGAAAGCCTTCGTAGACTGGCAATCCCTGGTGGGCTCAAGAAGCTGGGGGGGCGTTTCACCACCATGGCCCCCAGTCTGTGGGGTGCTTAACTAGACCAAGGTGGTTACTAAGCTCTCATTAGGTTACAATTTTATTTTTATGGAAGACTAATAAAGATATAGGACTCTATATGGAAAAAGTCTGGAAAAATATCTATTGGGGCATTAATCTAGTTTCTTTAGACACGTGTGAATAGGCTTCTTTATTTTCTTCTTTGGATGGCTGCTGTTTTCTGAATTTGCTTTAAATTTTTTTCTCCTCCTCCTTTTTTTGGGTATGTATGTGTATATATATTTATTTCTTTTTTCTTTCTTTTTATTTTTAAAAAATATTTTATATATGGGCGGCTGGTTGGCTCAGCTGGTTAAGTGTCTGACTTCGGCTCAGGTGATCCCAAGGTTCTGGGATCAAGTCCCACGTTGGGCTCCATGCTCTGCAGGATGTCTGCTTCTCCCTCTGCCCCTCCCCCAACTCGTTTTCTCAATCTCTCTTTCTCTCTCTCGCTCTTTCTCTCAAAGAAATAATTAAAATCTTTTAAAAATATACATATCTTATTTATTTATTTGAGAGAGAGAATGTACATGTGTGTGTGAGAGGAGGAACAGAGGGTGAGGGAGAGAATCCCAAGCAGACTCCATGCTGAGTGCAGAGCCCAATGCAGGGCTTGGTCTTACCACCCTGAGATCATGACCTGAGCCAAAGTCAAAAATCTGATGTTCAACCAACTGTGCCACCCGGGCAGCCCTCTTTTTAGTTTAATTTAATTTTTTTCTTTTCTCTTCTGATTTTTAAATGATTTTTTTAAAAGATTCTATTTATTTATTTATTTATTTATTTATTTATTTATTTTAAAGAGAGAGAGTGAGCATAAGCAGGGGAAGAAACAGAGGGAGAGGGAGCTCCCGCTGAACAGGGAGCCCGATGCTGGGCTCCATTCCAGGACCCTGGGATCTTGACCTGAGCTGAAGGTAGACCTTTAACCAACTGAGCCACCCGGGCACCCCTACTCTCTTCTGGTGTGCAAGATTTGACTTTCTGTGTATGTCTGGTTTTGCTTTGTTTTGCCTTTCTTTTTAAAAAACCAAAACTGATTTTCGTATTCTAAAGGCAATAGTATATGTATGTGATAAGTGATTGAACAGGCTCCTCTCAGGGCCCAGGGTTATACCCTTCTCTCAAGCTAAAGAGTTAGTCTGAGGCAGATGCATGAGACCCCTGTGTCTGAGACAGAGGAATCTATTACTCATTGCAGAGCAAACAGCAGGAGCAAAATATTTGCATCAGTTCTCCTTTCCCTCAAGTCCTAAGGGGGTGACACAGAGAAGCTTGCCCTGCAGCTGAGGAACACTGAGCTGGGGGCATTTGCCTCTACTTGAGCAGGTGGAAAGCTAGCCTTCATCCCTCAGAGTTACTCACCACAAACACAGCCCTGAGAAATTGCTGGGAGGTAGAATGGCCGGACCTGGTGGTCTGGGCGTGCTCTCGGGAGGGCGCAGGGATGCTCAGGGCTTCGGGGGATTGCCTCTCCTGACAGTGGAGGATGGAATAAGAGGAAAACCTCCAAACTCTGCCACAGGAGGAGCCTTCATTACAAAGTCGTGTTTTGTGTCTGTGTTTACGCAAACATATATGCTTGTCATCTGTCATATTAAATCTTTGGTACATCCTGTTCTGTACTTACTGAACAAAAGAAAGAAGAAAAGAAGAAAGAAAGGGAAAAAGGAAGGAAAGAAACCATTCCATTGTCAGACACTTAAGTTATTTCAGCATCTTGCTGTGGCGAACAGAAAAGTACAAATAATTGGCTGGAAAGTAATTGAAGGTTAGATTTCTTTTTTAAATTCTAAAAAGTCAACAAAAATATTTGTAAGACTACACAAAGATTCCCAATTTCTCAATCTTCGAAAAATTACTAAGGTTGGGGGTGGGGAGCCTGGCTGGTTCACAGAGGGGCATGGGGCTCTTGATCTCGGGGTTGGGGGTTCAAGCTCTGCATTGGGCATAGAGATTACTTAAATAAACAAATAAAATAAAATAAAAAGAAAAAAAGGAAAAAAACCCAAAAAGCTCAGAGGAAAAGACATTTTAAAAAATCATTTAAAAAATAAGAAAATTACTGTAGCAAAAGGCATTTAAAAAAATTTTTTAGGGGCGCCTGGGATCAAGCCCCACATTGGGCTCTCCGCTCAGCGAAGAGCCTGCTTCCCCCGCTCTCTCTCTGCCTATCTCTCTGCCTACTTGTGATCTCTGTCTGTCAAATAAATAAATAAAAATCTTCTAAAAAAATTTTTTTTTAAAAAGATTTCATTTATTTATTTGAGAGTGAGAGAGAGATGAGAGGGGAGGTCAAAGGGAGAAGCAGACTCCCCGCAGAGCTGGGAGCCCGATGTGGGACTCCGTCCCAGGATTCCAGGATCACAACCTGAGCCGAAGGCAGTGACACAACCAACTGAGCCACCCAGGCGCCCTAAAGCGAAAGGTATTTTTGACAAAATGTCATTCCAACCAGATTACCGCTGACAAAGTTGTGTGGGGCTCCATGTGGGGCGGCCGTTCTGGGCAGAGCAGAAAGGAGGATGGATCCAGGCTCCAGCCTGAATGCTCAAGAAACAGGGCCTATCCCCACAAGCTGTAGACAGAGGGTGGAGGGAGAGACGATGAGAATCCGAGCATGGCGTGTTCACTGCCCTCAAGATATCCCAGGAGAGCAATACTGAGAAAACTCTGGGAGCAGCTGTTCGCCGGGGACAGAACCAAAGGTCCTCTGGTCAGGGTTCTAGCTGCTCCTCACTGCAAGCCCATTTTACAAATGAGGGGGTCACAGACAGAGAGATTACGTAGCCTGACCCAGAACAGGCCCGACTCAGTGCCAAGCACTTCCCATTGACAGAAACTTCGCTCCTCACAACCTCTCTGTAAGATACATATCATTACCCTCATCTCCCAGGTGAAGAAAGAGAGAAACATAACAGCTCAGAGACTTTTCAAGGCTCAGACTACCAGCAAGTGCTAGAGATGAGCTTCAAAACCAAGTTAGGGCACCTGGGTGGCTCAGTTGGTTAAGTGTCTGCCTTGGCTAAGGTCACGATCCCGGGATCCTGGGATTGAGCCCTGCGCCAGGCTCCTGACTCCTCAAGGAGCCTGCTTCTCCCTCTCCTTCTACTGCTCCTTCTGCTCGTGCTCTCTCTCAAATAAGTGAATAAAATATTAAAAAAACAAAAACAGGTTGGTCTAAGGATTCAAGGCCCAAGATAAAGATGACCCAGGTAGTACCAGGGTCGGGTACTTAATTACTACACTGCATTTAGAGACATGAACTCAATTAATGGAAGGAACATGGACTTTAAAAAGGACTAGGGGCACCTGGGTGGCTCAGTGGGTTAAAGCCTCTGCCTTTGGCCAGGGTCCTGGGATCAAGTCCCGCATCGCATTGGGGGGGGGGTCTCTGCTCAGCAGGGAGCCTGCTTCCTCCTCTCTCCCTGCCTGCCTGTCTGCCTACTTGTGATCTGTCAAATAAATAAATAAAATCTTTAAAAAAAAATAAAAAAATAAAAAGGACAAATCTAGAGCCACCACATAATTGACTCAAGTAAGAATGAGTGTTAGAGTTGTTGAGTAAAATTGAGACAGCAGTGCATGTGTATGTTTAAGTAATCTCTACAGCAGGCTTGAACTCACAGCCCTGAGACCGAGAGTTGCACGCTCTACCGACTGAGCCAGCTGGGCGTCCCAAACAAGTGATCAAACTTAGCATCACCAGTAGTGGGGCAGGCCAACATCAGGAGACTCTAGACATGAAGCACCCAGAAGGACACATCAGGAAGGACAAAGAAAGTCCTTGGACATTCTTCCAGATCTTTTTTTAAATTTAATTTTATTACTTTTTATTTTATTGTGTGTTTTTTTTAAAAGATTTTATTTATTTATTTGACAGCACGAGCTGGCAGAGCAGCAGGCAGAGAGAAAGGGAGCCCAATGTAGGGCTCCATCCCAGGACCCTGGGATCATGACCTGAGCCAAAGGCAGGCTTTTAACATCCAGTATGTTCATATATTTTAATATTTTCCTAAGCCATTATTTCTCTCATTTCTTTAGCGCCTGACCTGAAATTTGAGAAGACCTCAACTCTGGAATATAAGAGGAAGAATGAATGTCTTCCAGATCTTAATTCTCTTCTCAGTTGAAAGAAAGAAAGACAAGAAAAAGGCTTTAATTAGGGGCCTTTAACAAAAATGCTGGGTGGGGTCGTCACGGGTGCCTGAATTCAAGAACAAAGAAGACCCAGAAGGGGCTTCTGAGAACCACAAAGTTTTAAAGATGTACCCAAATGCCATACTGAAAATTCCATCACCGAACTGTCATTTGCTTAGGCATACAGCAAGGGACATGTTTAAAAAATAAAATAAAATATAAAATAAACTGGTAGTAAAGCCATGCAGAAGGTAGATGGGTGTTCATTGTTTTATCCTTGCAACTTTTCTGAGTTTG